TACGTTACGTACCTTCCTCCTACTTACTTACTTACGTTACGTTACGTACGTACGTACTACTACGAACGAACGACGAGACGAGAGCTCGTCTCTCTCTCTCTCTCTCTCTCTCTCTCTCTCTCTCTCTCTCTCTCTCTCTTAGATGCAAACGAAGCTTTTTAAAGCTTGAAAAAGCTTTTTAAAGCTTCGACCCCTTAATTTCGAAATCGCGATCCAACACATCTTTGAAAACTTGAACCCATTAATTGTGGATAGACGTTCCCAAATATATCGAATTTGGATTCTAGCGAGGATTAAATCTTGATTCCATGTCAATTGGAGTAGAAATCTTATTTCGAATGCCTTCTAGTGGTTGCACAGTTTCATTATTTTATTTGTGCCACCCTGGATGGCCTTTACTTTAAATTTAAAATATAATTGGTAAATACAACACATACAATTAAAAATAAAATAATGGTGTAAACATAATCCTATTTTCTCTTTATAATAATGAAGTCAAAATCACAATTTAGGAATACTTGCCTTTTGTACATAATGACCATAAATTCAATAGGCAACGCAATCACTTTAAAATTCAGGAAACCTTCTAATAAGAGATATCCAATATAAGTTCTAAAGTTCATGAGGCTCAAGATGTGCGTCGCTTTTTTCTCCATAAAAAAGAAATCTTGATTCCTAATAGGGGTCATCAAACGCATTTCATAGTCCATATTATTGTAAATCTCGATCTCAAACTGGCATGGATATCTGATTTATATGTTAGAATCACAATTCAAAACAACAACATATCTATGTTCCACATATGTCAGAAACTCGATTCCGCATAATTAAGAATCTTGACTCCTAGAGTGTCGATTCCAAGGGGATGGAAATCCCGATTCCAAGGAGGACGGAATCTCGATTCCATAGGTGGATGAAACTTGTTGGATCTATTTCGGTCGAAACACGATTCTCAAAAACTAGGAATATCGTTCCTAGCGATTCCTATTGTACGAACAACAATTCCTAAGACAGGAATCTTCTAGCTGACCGTGATTCTGCGATTCCAGTTCCTAAAACGATTCAGATTCCCAAGCATTTTCAACAACTATGAGCCAAATACCTTAAGGGGTACAAGGAACATGGGTGAGTTGCGATGAATAATTTCTAAAGCTCTGATACCAATTGATACAAGGAAAAGGGGAAACAAAGTAAACAACCCAAAAAAATAAACAAATCAAAATATAGTGCAAGAGAATTATACCCTCTATCTGAGCCCGCATGAGAGTCCACCCCAAAGGCCGAGTGATGTGACCCACTCTAGGTCTGCCAGGGAGTCTACCCAAAGGATCTCCATACTTACATATCTATAGAAGAAAACCCTAAAACCCACCTTGTTTCCTACAAAACCCTTATTATTATTAAATCCTAACCTATCATCTTTAAAAGATTAAACTTCCAATTCCACCCTTTAATTCTCTACAACAAAAAAAGACATAAGTACCCTAAACGAAAACCAAAAACCCAAAGATACCCAAACCTAATATGAATCTCCAAAAAAAAAAAAGAAATAAAGCCCTAAATACATCAACTATACACAGTTTGCCAAGATAGGAATCTTGGGGCCTCAATGGGCAGTCATCTATAACCCTGGTTAGAGACCATGTGCAAGAACAGGGGAAAAGGTTCCCTAAGTGTAACAGTAAAACAAGGCAGAAAAAAAGGGTTTACACAGATGGTTTTTTAGGCATGCAGGAAGAGAGAGAATTTCTTGCTAGGCTGCTGTGCATGTACAATAGAGGAATATGTCCTCCATGACTCAGAGATTAAGGTTAGATGATCTTTAAGGGCAGCCACATCAGAAAACAAGATTACAAAGTTTCTTGAGGTGCAAAAATGAGAGGGGATCGATTTCTTTGATGGCTGTTTGTGCACATGGAAGAGCAACCTTAGAGGTGAAGAGAAACCCGAGAGTGGATTGAAAATCCCATAAGCCATGTTCCAGAAGATTCTAAAGTCATTTTTGAGTGGAATGAAAGACTAGGTCAGTACGCCATTGTTCCATAGAAACCCAGTGCGGGGTGAACCAAGTATTGGGTGGTAACCCCCGGAAACCCTCACCAATATGTTATTTTTGTTGTGAGTTTTGTTTTTTCCCAAGTGTCCATAAGAATGTTGCAGCAACTAGATTCTAGGGAACTGTAATTGTATTGTTTTGCATTATTTTATTGTAAAAGATGTAAAAATGCATATAGCAGCACTTGTAAAGTTGCCAATACGAGCAATAAAGATTGTTTGAAAAAAAATTCAGAATTTGATACCTGATAAGCATCAGTACAGCTGCTTACATAACTGAGATTAAGAAGTATAGACTATAGACTACAAACTATAGCACAAATCATAGTTGTTGGAGGCAGGAGTGGGATCGGTTCTGGGAATGTCGAAAATCATAGGGTGGAAGTTCTCTGGGGTTAGGATCAACATCCGTATATGCAAAAAGTTAAGGAGCTAGATCGTAGGATACCTGGGAGCGAGATCCCATGTCAATGAAATCGAGGTTTTGACTTGGATAGGTCTAAGCTCAAGTGTCTTAATAGTATACGATAAAATTAGAATCAAGCAAATGCCTGCTCGATCCATTATTATATGCCTTAGCTTATTACCAATGCCATATAGCACTCCAATTTACCAGAATAATGCAATTTAATAATAGCATAAATTGGCTTACTATGATATTAACATGTAGTTTTTTAGTACCATTACCGATGCCATATAGCACTCCAATTTACCAGAATAATGCAATTTAATAATAGCATAAATTGGGTTACTATGATATTAACATGTAGTTTTTTAGTACCATAATTCTAGTATACCAAGAGGTGATGCACTACAAATTAACATATTCGAAAGAAATAAATCTATAATACTAAGGAGAAGAACAATAGTTCAATTAATAGTATAGCCCCTCTCCATGAAAGGATCCTACAAGCATGTAGACCAAGATCCCATTTTATACAGAGTGAGATCCCTATTTTTCTAAACCCAACTCCCTCCAAAATCCCTTCGAGTAGCTGCAGGATCGCATTCCTAGGGTGGGACCACGACCTTACTCTCAAGGTTCCCGCAATGATGGCCCAAATTACTGAATAAGGCAAGGGTGGCCTAAGCCCAGCCAAGAAATTAAACTAGCCTACTTTGCCAAGCCCAGGTTCGAACTCAGGCCTTACACCGTGTCCTGAATCGCCCGTTCAGCAGTGCTAGTTCTAACCAATCTATCAAACCAACAAAAGTATACTTGTTTTGAGCATTGGCCCTGTCTATAGGCTCACCAAGCTCCTCACCTCAACTAAATGAATCAATCTATCAAAAGAAGATTATTTTTCAATTGTAAATGTATCAATTGATGTTTTTGCTCACTTTTCATATGCATTATGTTTCTTCTATATATTTTGTTATGCTAAATGAGTATAATTTTTCTTGATAAATAAGTAAAAATTTCTACTACAAAGGTAAAAAGTAAAATGTTCATGGGTTACTTGAAGTCGTATAAAGCGTTTCACATGTTACAGCATATGATTATATCATTGACTTCTCCTCAACTAAAGAATGATGTGACTTTATGAAGAAACCATAATTTGTCTCTCTTGATCTCATTAATGGAGTATTATGAGAACAATACATATATTAATATCTATCTTCTATTTTTTGTTTATTACTGCAGTGGTTATTTTAGAAAGTTTACCCTCCATGGCGCTTCCGTCACTTTGACTTACATCTAACCTCTCTAATAACTGGTGTGAATTCAATTTTACCCTTGATGGATCATGGTTACCATATGATAACTCATCCAGAGAGGCTTTCCTTCACAAGATGTCATGTCTCCTCTATAAATCATTATACATTTTCAGCACATTAGTGGATCCTTGCAAGTCTGGAACAATTACAAAGATAGCGTGGAAATAGTCATCACAAGTCATACCTAAAATTTATCAGGGAAATTATTGAACTTCAAAATTCAGAGACCATGGAATGAGATAACATTTTGCCCCATAGGAGCTTGAGCAAGCGCTTTTGAGCTCTAGAGCAAGCCTCTTGCCTGGGATTCATTACCTCTATCTTCAAAAGGATGGCAACTGGATGTCCGAGGTTTCCTAGAGGGGTGGGGGAAGAGGGGTAGATAATAAGAGGGACATTAGAAAGAAGGGGAGGAAATGCAACCAACGCCAAACACTGGAAAAGCTACTTGAAGGATGCCATAGGTGCTTCCAACAAGCAATGTAACTAGCATCGCCCGAGTAAGTATATGAGTCAGAGAGCAGTGGTTTACTCAAGTTGTTTTTGTTTTTTTGAAAGTTGATGGTTAATATTATAATATTAAGATATTGTACAGCAGCAAGGGTAGAGGAGACCCACAGACTGGGACTCTCAACCTAAAACTTGGTCACTAGGGAGTGACCTATTCTAGAATACTAGTTCTAACATTCCAGTGAGGCAGGAAGAAGGGGCTTATATGAACCGCCCGTTAATAGGTAGAAGATAAGAAACTAGAAGGAGGCAGCCTTCCCGCCGGTTTACTCAAGTTTTATGTTAGAGTTCTTGAGAAATGAAAGAAATTCAAGTCTCCCTCTTTCGTTTTTCTTCTAAATTGTAATAATAACGCTATAAACAGTCAAGGGTAAAAGTGTACAAAAAATAAAGGGGTTTTCACTCCCAAATTTTACTCTAGAGAAATCCCACAACTACTACTTACTCAAGTTCTCGGGGAGTGCCAATCAATATTTCATTGATTCATCTCTTCTCCTCAATTACTCATTCAATTACAACCAAATGGAATTATTGAGTAGTCTCCTTCCCTTCGAATGATGAATTCTCTTAAATTAGAAGAAGACTTTGGAATTCATAAGGAATTTACTGGTCTATGCATTATTCCATTCGATCTTTTAGGTCCCTACTTCGCCTCGACGATTATGCCATGGTATCCCTTATTAATAAGAAATCCAAAGTCCAAAAAAACAATGAACCACTAACATAAAAAACTGAACCTCAAAACCAGGTTCTAAAACCTTAACAAGTCTGAGTCAGATTCACACACGTCAGAGTCAGAGTCATGTCATTGGGAACTGCCACCCCCCAGTATCAGATGACCCCGACATGGTCAACCCGAGTATTGGCTGAGTCTGATCAAGTCTTGTCAAGTCTGTCCAGCCAAGTGTACCCAGGCCTTTAGAAAAGCCTGTGATTCTGGTCCTAGCATAACCAGTCAGACTCGAGACTCCAGAAGCTGACTCAGACCTGCCCCTAGCCTGGTTCAGGATTTTTATATCACAAGCACTCCTAATGGAACTGCAAAATGGTTTTGATTAAATGTTAATTAGATGGTAAATTTGAAAAACTTGGATACGGTCAGCAATCAAAAGGTTCCTAAGTTGAAACCACCATGATGTCAAAAAGCATAGACAAAGATTAAGTGAAAGAAGAATTTCATATCCCCTGTGAGATTTGCAGCAACCATGCATTAACTTATCTTCGACCATAACAGTCGAACGAATCATTATAAGGATTTACTATCAAAATAAAATACCAAATGGTCCAAACTTAAAAATGTAGTATTTCAAATTTGATTTTCATTCTGTTTCTAGTATCTTATCAGAAAAAAAATATGTTTCTATTCTATTATTCTTCACCCAAGAATATTTGAGACCGACCCCTCATGAAAGGGAAAAAAGGGCACAGTAAATATTTTTTGATCGTCATCGAAATTGATGTCGCGCTCCTCCGCATATAGAAAATGAATAAATAAATCGATCAAATTACGGGAAGCTTTGTAAAGTGCCACTTTTGGAGTTAAACTTCCATTTGTCCATATCTCTCGAAAAAGTATCTCGTGTCTTTCATTCTTCCATAACATTGAATACTATAATTCACAGAACGGATCATTATAAGGACTTGCTATCAAAATAAAATACCAAGTGGTCCAAACATAAAAATGTAGTATATAATATTTGATTTTCATTCTGTTTCTATTATCATCAGAAAAAAAATATGTTTCTATTCGATTGTTCTTCATATTTGAGAACAGTGACTTCAGCCACTAAATTTATCTTCAATCAACTTTAACCCCAGGAGGGACTTGACCAATTAAAACCATAGAACTGAACAAATTTAACATGGGCAATTAGAGAAAATGAATATCTATAAGAGTAAGTATAATTTAAAACCTACATCCAACTATAGAAGCATTCAATCAAAGCTACATCAGAAAAAACAAATCTTCCATAAACTTACCATTTCAAGCTGTTCAAAATCTCGCAAAGCTTCCTTTTGCTCCTTTTCCTTGGCCGCATTCTCTTTACGCATAGCAGCAAGCCTTGTAGCAACATTGTCCTTGTGCCGCTGACCAAGCTCATGAGTTCTAATACTCAGAGGGTTGTTGGCTATATAGATCTTGCAGAAGTCACACCATTTGTTACCCTGGCTTACCCAATACTGGAAAGAAGGAAAATGGACTACAAGTAAGAGAAGCGCACAAACATTTTATGTTTACATAAAATTAAAAGGTACACCAACAGAGTAAGTTATACAAAACCATTGTGTATAGAACTAGGGGTAGTGAGGCAACTCCTAAAGTGCATAGAATGTTTCTTGAGTCAAAACATTTGGCTACACAAAAATGGAAAAGAGAATAAAGGGAAATAGTTTCCTTTGTTGCATAGATGGGGGAATCTTCTGAAATATGTGACTCAGTTACAGTAAATGGTCTACACAATAAGCTACAAATCAGCTGACTGCAAGAGAAGACCAAAATGAATTAGAAGTCAAATTATATCGCTGAATTAATCAAACACAGAGTTTGTATATCTCAAACATGTTCATTCCAGCAAGTTCAGATTCAGACTTAAACCTTACCATGCAAGTCCTTTTGGAAGCCGTAATGCAGCTGAAGTGATGGTATCTCACTAGGCCAGCCAAATTATGGAGTGAAAGAAATGTTGATTGCATACTCAAAGTAACAACCTTGTTAGGAGGTTCTAGCAGCTGTACCTTGAAGCATGATAATTATTCACTAATGTCTCAAAATTAGATTATTAGACAATATGGAATACACCCCAACTTTAACAAAAAGCTTCACTACAAAGATTGAACATAAAATACTCAAACATATAAAAAGTTGGATACAGCGTTCCAAAAATCGTCGGGCGGCACCTAGGCGGCCAGGACCCCCTGGTCGCCCAACGCCTAGGCGGCCGCCCAAAACCTGGGCGGCCTAGGACCTATGTTGAAGAAGAGGCGTAAGGTGCAGGGAAATATAAATAAATATCATAAAATAATTAAAATCCCATAATCCAAAAAGTTTCAAACCATTATATTTGCAATAGATAGACTACTAGTACAAACAAAAATAAAATATACTAGGAATTAGTAAATTAGTAATACAGGCACAATCCATGATCCATACTCCATAGATCATACTCCATACTGCACATTTTATATCATTCCATAATCCATATTTCCATACAATGATACAACCATACAGACATACACAAGAAAGTAGAGAGTAGAAACTAGAAAATAAGAAAAATAAAATATACAGTCATCTTGTGAGAGTTGTTTTGGGAGAAGAACATAAAATAACTAGAAGCACCTTGAAATTCCAAAATTGTATGAACAACAACAGTAACACTTTGAATGTTTAGCCAACTGTAAATTTAATCTGACATCTAAGAATAAATTTTAGTCCCAAATAGATCTGAAATCCTTTTTCCAAGTAAAAGTTAATCCAACACCTTGGTTAAATAATACTTGACCTTATCAATCAATTTATATATCACTATGGAGAGGTCGAGAGCAGGGGAAAGAAGATTTAGTAAGCCAGGGCTGATATTGAGAAATTATTCATGTGAAAAAACCTAGTCAGGGTATTTTTATGACCTGAAAAATTTCCAAATCATGAATATTGCACATTGTGAGGGCTTTCAAAAAGAAAATGATTTTGCAGTTTAAAAACCCTAAATCCAATAATCATGAAATGGCCCCCCACAGTCATTCTTTGAACAAGAACAGATTTGGAGCATTTTTTTAGCTCCAAATCAATGTAAATTGAAATTGATCTTAGAGATGAATAAAAGACAATTTGATAGTTTGGGGGTCAAGCAAATCCCCTAAACCTGCAGCTGTATGGGCCTGAGGGCGAATGGGGCTTATACTAGTGCTATGGTTGAACTATAAAAGCTTTTTGGAATGGATTGGGTTCAAGGAACAAAATCAATCCATCAGATTATGTATTTGAAAAACCCATGAGACAATAGACCAGTCAAATATTGGCATTATATCCATCACAGCTAATTCAGTGACATGGGGATATTTTTTTGACATGGGGACATTATAAAAAGGGAAACTCTAAAACATCACAACCAAATGTGTGCTTTTTCTCCTTAACCCAGAGTCATTGATTATTAACAACAAAACCATAGCAGAGAATGAAGATAATTTTGTTGTTCTCATTAATGATGACACAAAGTCCTTGGGTAGTTGTATTGAAGACGAACCAACTCAGGACGAACACCTATAAACTTAATATTAAAACTATAACGTTGCTGTTACTTTCTTATTAACAAATATGGATCACTAGGAAACTTCAAAAGAAAATATATGAACATACAGCCCCAATGGGAAAGGGAATAAACTCCATAAGATGCAAAGCCTACCTCCTGTAAAGTTATACACATCTGAGCTAAATCACTTCGTTCTTACTCATAATTTTTTAGCAAATTTGAATCGGATAAAACGACAAACAAAATAACAGATAGATAGAGAGAATTAGAGGAAACGAACAAAAAGAAAATAAATCACCTCTGTCATCCTTCGAGCTAGAAGGCTCTCTTCCTTTCAAAACTCAAATTTTGCGGCAATCCCAATGAGAAAGGAGTTAGCAGCAGATAGGAAATCTGCAGGAGGCTGGCCCCTTTCCAATTCGGAGAGAGAGAGCAGGGTGAACGGCAAGGGCCCTTTGCTTTCTGAGGTACAGCCGACCTAACACCCTCTGCCCTTTTAATTTGCGAATGACTGAAAAAGTTTGGACCTCTTCGTCAAAAGTCGCACTACATGGCGTTTGCAGCCTAACATAATCCAATTAAGGCACACCTCCAAATTTTATCAACGGATAATTTTGATGTAAAATATTATTCAAATTATTTAAAAATCTATTTTTATATTTAATTATAAAATTTTAAACTTTAAAAATAGTTAAAATTAAGCAGATCTATAAATACATAAAAATCTTGAAAATGGATGGTTTAGATAATGTGTTGCAAGATACACTACTTCTGGGACATGAAAACTTATTTTTTTATATTCATATAACTTGATGTCGAGATTATTAATTAGTGGGTTTTTAACATTTAAACAATATTTTTAAATGGATTTTTGAGGTGCATCTTTAATTCTACATTTAAAGGTTGCAACGTTGTATAAACTTTTTCCTTATAAAAAATTTCGAAAGTAGAAATTTAAGTACTTCGCAACATATTATTGTGATGGATGAAAGTTGGACTATGTAACCTGAGCAAATGTATACCGATAAAAAATAAATATTTTCTTTATTTTATGAATGGATATAATATAATAGAATCACAGTATCCACTACCAATAGAAGACCCATTGCGTAGCGATCATGGAACATATAACAGAATCACAATATCCACTACCAATGGAGGACCCATTGTGTAGCCGTCATAACACATAAAGCAGAATCACATATAATAGAATCACAGTATCTACTACCAATGGAGGACCCATTGCGTAGCGATCATGTCACATATAACAAAATCACATATAATAGAATCACAGTATCCACTACCAATGGATGACCCATTACGTAGCGCTCATGGCACATATAATAGAATCACATATAACATAATCACAATATCCACTACCAATGGAGGACCCATTGCGTAGCGGTCATGACACATATAACAGAATCACATATAATAGAATCACAGTATCTACTACCAATGGATGACTCATTGCATAGCGATCATGGCACATATAACAGAATCACATATAATAGAATCACAATATCCACTACCAATGGAGGACCCATTACGTAGCGGTCATGGCACATATAACAGAATCACATATAATAGAATCACAGTATCCACTACCAATGGAGGACCCATTATGTAGTGGTCATGACACATATAACAGAATCACATATATCAATTAGTGCCACCGTATCAAAGTATCATATTTTCAGTATCACAATCTCATATTTTTCTGCAATTTCAGACAGTAATGTCCAGCCACGGACATGGCCATAATGCTCGATCCATTTAGAATTCGGAAATGGTTCCAAAACAAAAATTTTTGGATCACTAGGAAACTTCAATAGAAAATATATGAAAATACAGCCCCAATGGGAAAGGGAATAAACTCCATAAGATGCAAAGCCTACCTCCTGTAAAGTTATATACATCTGAGCTAAATCACTTCGATCTTACTCATAATTTTTTAGCAAATTTGAATCGGATCAAATGAAAAACAAAATAACAGATAGATAGAGAGAATAAGAGGAAACGAGCAAAAAGAAAATAAAGCACCTCTGTCATCCTTCGAACTAGAAGGCTCACTTCCATTCAAAACTCAAATTTTGCAGCGATCCCAGTGAGAAAGGAGTTAACAGCAGATAGGAAATCTACAAGAGGCTGGCTCCTTTCCAATTCAGAGAGAGAGAGCAGGGTGAAAGGCAAGGGCCCTTTTCTTTCTGCATTACAGCTGACTTAACACCCTCTGCCCTTTTAATTTGCCAATGACTGAAAAAGTTTGGATCTCTTCTTCAAAAGTCGCACTACATGGCGTTTGCAGCCTAAAATAATCTAATTAAGGCACACCTCCAAATTTTATCACAACATGTAATTTGATGTAAAATATTATTCGAATTTTTTAAAAATCTATTTTGACATTTAATTATAAAAGTTTAAACTTCAAAGATAGTTAAAATCAAGCAGATCTATAAATACATAAAAATCTTGAAAATGGATGGTTTAGATAATGTGTTGCAAGATACACTACTTCTGGGACATGAAATCTTTTTTTTTTATATTCATATATCTTGATGTCGAGATTATCAATTCGAGGGTTTTTAACATTTAAACAACATTTTCCAATGGATTTTTGAGGTGCATCTTTAATTCTACATTTAAAGGTTGCAACGTTGTATGAACTTTTTTCTTACAAAAAATTTCGAAAGTAGAAATTTAAGTACTTCGCAACATATTATTGTGATGGATGAAAGTTGGACTATGTAACCTGAGCAAATGTATATTGATAAAAAATAAATATTTTCTTTATTTGATGGATGGATATAATATAATAGAATCACAATATCCACTACCAATGGATGACCCATTGTGTAGCGCTCATGGAACATATAACAGAATCACAATATCCACTACCAATGGAGGACCCATTGCGTAGCGGTCATGACACATATAACAAAATCACATATAATAGAATCACAGTATCTACTACCAATGGAGGACCCATTGCGATGCGATCATGGCACATATAACAGAATCACATATAATAGAATCGCAATATCTACTACCAATGGAGGACCCATTGCGTAGCGGTCATGGCACATATAGCAGAATTACATACAATAGAATCATAGTATCCACTACCAATGGAGGACCTATTGTGTAGCGATCATGACACTTATAACAGAATCACATATAATAGAATCACAGTATCTACTACCAATGGAGGACCCATTGCGTAGCGATCGTGGCACATATAACAGAATCATATATAATAGAATCGCAATATCCACTACCAATGGAGGACCCATTGCGTAGCGGTTATGGCACATATAGCAGAATCACATATAATAGAATCATAGTATCCACTACCAATGGAGGACCCATTGTGTAGCAGTCATGACACATATAACAGAATCACATATATCAATTAGTGCCACCGTATCACAGTATCGTAGTCTCATATTTTTCTACAATTTCAGATAGTGATGTCCTGCCACGAACATGGCCATAATGCTCGATCCATTTAGAATTCGGGTTCCAAAACTAAATTTTTACTAGACACGCGGACCTTTCAAATGGGGTCGTTTGAAAGTGTTTGGATGCAATTTGGCCCTTTGAAAGCTTATTAGAAAGGAAGCATCCCATTTGAAACCTGTTGTGCAGTTGGAACTGTGTCATGTCCCGCTTAACACCATTATGACTTTCAATCCATAAAACATTTAGTCCCATGTTATGATAGATTTTATCATACAACCCTTCTTATTATTCATTAAGATGCACATAAACACTTAATCACAAATTTTCATGGCAATCAAAGAAGATTTCAATGCTCATTTTGACATGCAATGGCAGGATAAATTTCTGGAAACCATGGCACAACAGGGTACACATGCAGTCTTAGTTCATGTTTAATCCATGCTTTCATGCCTAAGGACCTACAAGACTGATGATCCACTTACTTAAGGTGCACTGTGCCTCCAAATCTTCTCCCATAGCTCCTCCTTCAAGCTTCTAACAAGGCTCTTCAATGGGAAGCAAGGCTAATAAAAGGGGCTCTAGAGAGAGAGAGGAAATGAAATGGCATTGGGGGGGAGGAGAGAGGCTTAAGTACCCCTTGGTGGGGAGGTGGTAATTCAAGTGGTGGCAGATGGCAAACACCACACATGCAACTAGACAAGTGACATGTGTGGGAGCATGCACTTAGCAAGTGGCGTTCACTGTCCATGCATGGCAGTGCCTCAAACGGTGTGGCCATGCACGACGGTGCCCCCAACAGTGATGCCTCTCTTCTCCAAATGGCGATGCCTCTCTTCTCCAAACGGCGATGCCTCTCCCTCTTCGCAAGTGGAGCTCCCACACACCCCCCCCCCCTTCACACACGGGGCATTACCCCTCTTCTTATCAGACTCCTACTGCCGTGCATGTTTCCTTGCCCAGGAAAACCTTGGTCCTTACATCATCCCCCCCCTTAAGAAATATTTTGTCCTCAAAATCATTAACTTAGCTATTTAAACAAATGGGGGTATGTATCCTAGATCTCATCTTCTCGCTCCCATGTTGATTCTTCTCTCGAATGATACTGCCATAGGATTCTGGCCAGGGGAATCTCTTTATTGCATAAAACCTGAACCGTCTTGTCTAGTATTTCAATCGGCTGTTTAACATAAGTCAATTCTTTACTTATCGGAATTGGCTCATACTTCAAGACATGGGACGGATAGGGCTGATACTTCCTTAACGGTGAACTATGAAAGACTTCATGAATATTAACTAACTCGGGCGGTAAGGCCAAATAATATGTTGCAACTCCTATTCTTTCTTGAATATCAAAGGGTCCAATGAATCGTGGATTTAGTTTTCCTTTCTTGTCGAACCTCATAATTTCCTTAGTTGGCGACACTTTCAAAAAGAGCCGATCACCCACTTCAAATTCGAGGTCTATTCGGCAGCTATCGGCATAACTCTTCTGCCGACTTTGAGCAGTTTTGAGCCTTTATCGAATTAAGGAAATCTTCTTCAATGTCATCTAAATAATTTTCGGCTCTAATAGCCTCTTGTCGTCGACCTCATCATAACATATTGGTGATCTGCACTTTCTCCCATATAGGGCCTCAAAAGGTGCCATTTGAATACTGGCTTGGAAACTGTTGTTCTATGCAATCTCTATTAGAGGTAAGTGATCATCCCAGTTTCCTTTAAAGTCAGCAACACAGGTCCTCATCATATCTTCTAGGGTCTAAATGGTTCTCTCTGACTGTCCATCAGTCTGGGGGTGGATTGCAGTACTGAAAGTGACTTTTGTTCCCAAGGCTGATTGCAGACTATTCCAAAATCTTGAAGTAAATCTAGAATCCCAGTCGGACACAATTATAACAGGTACCCCATGCAGTCTTACAATCTCTTTGATATAAAACTGAGCCAGCTTATCAAGGGTATAAGTGGTGCAAACTGGAAAGAAATGGGTAGCTTTAGTTAATCAGTTCATAATAACCTAAATACTATCGTGTCCAATGCCTGATCTTAGCAACCCAGATACAAAGTCCATA